GAACAGGCTTTCATATCAGTTTACCTCCATCCAGCTATCCCACTTGCTCTAGACCTGGCAAGTGATCTTCATTAATCTTGCTGCTAGGATTTAAAACTATCCCTTGACCCCCACAAAATAATGTTTTAATTGGTCACTTCCCTCCTTAACCTGTTTCATTATTTTATTTTATTATTATTATTTTTTATAGAGACAGGGTCTCACTATGTTGCCCAGGCTGGTCTTTAACTCCTGTGCTGAAACGATCCTCCTTCCTTAGCCTCCCAAAGTGCTAGAATTACAGGAGAGAGCCACCATGCCCGGCCTCCTCAACCCGTTTTTAGTTGTCTTCCTTGGCTTCTCACTCTTTTTGTTTACATGTATACCTATCTCCCCCCCAATTTTTTTTTTTCTTTAACTAGAAAAGCCATTTATTGAAAGGTGTTAAGTTGCTCCTCAACCCACCAGAAGAGTCAGGATTAGATTCTGAAAACACAGAGGCAAGAACAATACCCAGTGTCACTGCCTCACTGAATTTTTAAATCTATAAAGATGGGGAACTTTATGTAGCACAGTGATTTCTATGTGACAATAGTAATAACCCTATGAAAGTAGGAATGTTATTCATGTTTTGTAGGCAAGATAATAGGCTTAGAAAACTTAAGGAATTGACTCAGTGTCACTCAATAAATGATAGAGCCGTGGGTGTTGAAATAAATATATGATTATGATTATTTAGAGCTGGAATTAATTTTTAAAACCTGTTTAGATAATATAACATTGAGAGCTTAGACTCCTGGAGCTACATGCCTCCTCATTTACTTCTAGAGGAGATGACAAGGAGTTTCCCCAGTCATTAAACAACACTTCACTGTTATTGAGCCTAATTTGGATACTGCTCATCCCTGAATCAATCACAGTAGCCAGGTGAATGACAATCACTGATGACTTGAAGCTTGGGCCTCTGTTAAATTCCCTTCCCTTAATTAATCATGGAATCAAAGGGAAACTGGATTATGCTGATTGGCTTAGACCAATAGCAGCCCACCCATGGAACCACATGGCTTCCACAAAGCAGGGCAGGCACAGAATGGACATTGGAAAAATGATCACAGTGCTAACCAGAGATGGCCATTTTTTGAAGCTGCAAAAGGAATGCTTTATTTTAGATTTGGATTGACTCTGCCAAATTGTCCCTCAAAAAGACTGTACTAATTTATATTCTCACCAACAGTATATGAGAAAATTTTCTCACGTTAGATATTAATAGTTTCCATTTTGGCCAGATAGATGGGTGAAACTTACCTTGCTTTGGTTTACATTTTCTTGATTACTACTGAGGTTACACATATTCTGATATATTTTATATATATATTCAAATGACCTATATATATATATAAGTCATTTGAATTCCTTCTGTGAATAAAAGATATTAAGGTCTTTAAAAAAGGTAAAGCAGATTTTAGTTTGAGTATTGGAGGCTTCCCTCTATAGATGGTTTTTCTATATCTGACAATAAAGGAAAAACCAGATTCAGATAATATGGTTTGGCTCAAGACATATTGTGGCTAAAAATGATTTTTGAGAAATGCAACCCAGCCAGAAGAATGCTTTTTTTTTTTTTTTTTT